AAAAAAAAAAAAAAAAAAAAGGGCAAAGAATGGAATCTGACCCAGTTTGTCCCTGTCTTCTGCCACCAGGTTAGCCCTCTTATTTCTTCCATGTACACACCATCCCTCTTCCCAGTTCTGCAGATCTCCAGTTTCTAATTGTGATTTCCTAAGCAAAGTGTTGCAAGCTCTGTTTTCATATTTCAACTTCTTACTATCAGATAAATAAAATAATGAGAGAATTCTCCTTTATATCAGCACGCCCAGCCATGCAGGACCTAGAACTATCCTAGTAAGGTCAGTCATTGACCTATATCTCCTATACCATATCAAAACCAAATAATAATATTTACATACTCGAATCCAACTCTGTCTTTACTATTTGAGTACTTGCTATAAGATTTATCTTTTACCCTTCCCCTAGAGTCCAGGGGCTACATAACTAACTCTTTAACTTGTCATTGTATATTCATCATTTTATCTCTAAATAACTAAAAAATTCCAGTACATCCCACACTGGATTAAAGATGTTCATTTAATATAATCTTGAAAAGTGAAACACCTTTGGCCAACTGAGAGCAGTTATGTGGAGACTACAGTCCAGAGATGGCTAAACATGTGTCAGGTGCCACTCCTTCCTGGGTATACAACTGTCCCCCAGTCAGACAAGGGCTTTAGCTGACTTCAGAATCTTTCTCCAGGCAGCCACTACCTAAGGGTCATACTTGGTTCTTCAGATGAAAAGTCTTTATCATGTGGCCTCCAAACCCTCTGTCCACCAGGATGTCAAAACTAAATTCTTATAGACGGCAGTATCTTCCTTCTTTCTTAAGAGAATATCAGAAGGAAGTAGGCAGGATTCTCTTTTTATCTGGTATTTAGCCTAAGCCTTAAGATCAGCAATTCTAAAACACAGCTGTCAGCTCTCTGTGACAAAGTCCTCTATTATCCTGTTTATCTCCCTGCTGAATTCTTAGCAACCACCCTCAGAGGTCTGCTGACCCTTTTTGGAGGGTGGGGGTAGAGAAAAGTTTCTCAAAGCCATAAGTGCCAGCAGATCAGTCACTTCAGAGCATGAGAGGTGCTGACCCCATTGTTTCACAATTCAGTGACATTGGAGCCAGACTTCAGGCATGTAATTCTTCATGAATAAAGACCTGAAGGTGGCTAACAGGAGGTAGAACATGATGGGTGCTGGGGGGGTCTAATAAAAAAAAAAAAGGAAAGGAAATTGGGGGGGGGCCGGGGGGTTTAAAAAAAAAAATGTTCTCTTGTTTTTACATCACACCTGTATTTTACTAGAGGAAAAAAAGCCCAGAAATGTCAAACCTAGCAACTATTTATTTCAAGTTCTTGTCACTGTCTACATCTACTCCAATTCAGAGCCCAAGTTCCCTAAAAAGACAAGATTAGACCAAGTAACAAGACCTCCACGTTTCTTCATATTATCAAGTTGCAGTAACTGAAAGCCAAGGTGGAGGCTGATCAATCCACCATGTTGAGGCTACTGTTTTCTCTGGGGAGGGGAGGCTGCCACTCAGCCTAGAAGGCAGCCTTGCCTTCTTCCTCCAGCAGTTCTGACCTGCCTGGGTTCAGCACCCTGTCAGCTCCCCTCTGCTCCTGTCTCTTCTCCCTGATTACAGTGCCCAGATTCTGACTTGGGCCTCGATAGAAATACTGATTGGATCTCTGTAAAGTTTAGCTGGACAAGTAGCACCAGAACCATGGAAAAATCAGTGTATTGGACCCTTAATGTGCTGTCCAGATTTCTTTTAGATAAGTGTCTGTATGCTCCCAGTATTTGGGAGCATTGGAGTCTGATGGCTCTCAAGGAATCACACTTGGTTAGACAGAGACCCCTCAGGAGGAAGCTTACCCCATGGGGGATAGGCAACCTGCATCCACTAACTGGCTGATGGAGGCACCCTTGCCTTGATGAGCAACAATTCTTCAGGCTGTCTGACCTCCACAGTCCCCTGTTTATCGCAGTCAACTTCTCCCTTTGCCCAGTTCTGCTCCTTTATTTATCTTCTGGGTGTTGTTGCCATCAGCTGTCCACAGTAAACCTCCCACAGGCAAATCTCAGGGTCTCAGAGACTGATTCCTGAAGAACTGAACTATAACCCTCAGAAACAAGGTACAAATAATGCTTCATTATTGTTTGCTCAACTTTAAGTCCATGGATTGTTTACTGAAATCCCCAACACTTGTATCAGCCAAATTTAGTCTTTGGTATTCAGCATATGCATGAGGGCACCGCCAGCCTGTCCCCTAGTCCTGTTAGACCAACTGTACTGTTGGACTTATGCCATAATCTTAATATACATAGTACTTATCCTGCATGATTCTGATATGCTTCATTTCAGTGCCTACAGGGTATTTTATTAGTAACTGAATGAAGTATATATTCAGTGGCAAGTTCTTCAGTTCACAAATTATTACCTAAATAAAAGATGTACCTCACAGCTAGTGACCAAGCACATCACTTTTTTCAAAGTCTGTTGGTGACTCATTTGGTCACTGTAAATCTGAACAGTGAGCAATGAGCCAAGGTGATGGCTGTTTCCTGGAGTTTGAGGACGTAAGGAAAGGTCAGCAAGAAAGCAGGACCCCTAGGCCAGATGCTGGGAGCAGGGTATTAGAAAAGTCCTAGGAGTGTGTTAATTCATCCACCCATTGCCTTCAAGCACAGAAAAAGTGGGACCAATATCAATGTCAGTTTTCTGTTGCTTCCCTAACAAATTATCACAAATCAGTGGCCTAAAACAACACGAATTCATTATCTTACAGTGTAGAGGTCAGGAAGCTAGAACAGGTGGTAGGGTTAGGTTCCTGCTGGGTCCTAT